GCTCCAAGCACCAGGTTGGAGCAGGGCAGGAGCAGCTCTGGAGAAGTCCCTGCCTCCTGGTCAGCTGGGCGCAGTGGTGAGCAGGGAAGAGAAGGAATGGGAGAAGAGGGGCTGTGCCAATGCTACTGCTAGGACCAGAGCTGGAGGTCTTGCCCCCTGCTTGGGGTCAGACCAACACCCTATTTGGGGCCAAGAAAGGATTTTGCACCATGGTCACATTGATACGGACTGGGGTGGGGGTTGCCTTCCTCGGCAGCGGGGGCACGGCTCTACGTGGGATCTCCTGAGTGTGCAGTAACAGCCTTTTACAGAAGCAGGGCATTGGCTGCCACTGTTTGCCGGGTGGCAGGTTTGGGTGTGATGTCTCGTGTTGTGTCGGGGCTGATGGTTGTTTCACCACGGGGTTCCACGATGGTTTCTTTGGGTTGGTTTGCATGACCTCTGGCAGGGGCTGGGCTAGCTGTGACCCCTGGAGCTCCCTTCCAGCCCCGCGTCTGTGTACGAGCTCTCTCTTTCTCTAGGATCTAGGATTTTGGAAAGGAGGGTGCAGATGTTGAGATGCATCATCCCATATGAAACAACACCTCTTTTTCCCCAGTTAAAAAGAAACTCGAAGCTTGACTCATATGTGAGGGGGCTACGGCTGAGTGATTCAGTTTCAGATGGAAGCAAAAACCATACAGAAATCCATTGTAAAGAGGGTTGGGAAGCAGGAGCTGCGGGGACAGGCATTGCAGAATGAAGGCTAGCTTGATGGGTGGAGCATCAAGACCATGAAAAAGAAGAGGGTTGTTGACACCTGCTGAATGAAGAGTTTGGAGGGGATCAGGTAGATGATAATGAGCCATGGACTCCAACAGCACTGCCTGACTAGAGATGCTGCTGGTAGTGGCTAATGATGCTGCCCTAGCTGCTGCTTATGCCTATGCTTTATTTAGTCTGTGGCCCCGGCTACACGTTACATGTATGGCACAATTGAGTGATGAATCGTGTCATACTTTTAGAACAGCTGCCCGTGCAAAGTATCGATCTCTTACTTAACAGGCGAATCACGCAATAAATGTAGACTGGCCACGCATGAGAAGTAATTATCACGCCGTAAAAATGTCTGTTTGGGTCTCAAAAGAGCCAGCCGACTACTGAGTTAGTACTTGGAAATGCATAACAGCTTTATAGACAGACAAGGTTCTTTGGGTAAATCCGATCTCTTTTATTAGACCAGCTCAAGTAGTTGGAAATAGTTGAGTTGGTCTAATAAAAGAGATCGGATTTACCCAAAGAATCTTGTCTGTCTATGTCCTTAGAGACCAACATGGCCCACCCCTAACAACTTTATAGCTGGTTTCTATCCAGCTTTCATTTGAACGTGTGTGGTGCAAATCTGCCCTGCCGTCCGCCCTTGTCGGGGGCCGGTGCAGGCTTGTTTCCCAGCAGAGCTCTCCTGGCTGGCCTGGTTGACGGTATCGGGAGGTTTGCATGGCTTCGAGTTGCACAGCCTGGTCTCTTTATTGCTTCTTCAGGAAGAGGAGGCTTGCTGTGCTGCATAGCGTACAGGTGCAAGAAGGCGGCGGAGACGGTCCATAACACGGTGGCGCCTGTAGGGCAGGCAGAGGTAGCCAGGAGATGATCTGCCCATTATTTTAATGTCATTCTGACCCAGCCAGTGTCTTCACCCCCAAAAGCTGCAAGGCAGCATCGCTTGAAACAAGTGGCAGGTTTCCACTTCCAATCCCTGCTGCTTTCCAGGCAGGATTAGTACCACCCCCCCTTGCCTTTGTCTTCCTGCTGCTGTGGTGTGAGCGATACGGGGCTATTAGTGTCTTGTAAAACGGAGCGACGTTGATGGGTCTGTCTCACCTGTCACTGCTGTGCGTTGTCGCACGGCTCGCTCGGCATTTGGAGATCGCTTTCTGTTTTTAGCTCACAAGTGGAGAGAAGTGAGGGCGAATCCTGTGCCCCCACCCTTGCAAAACATCGGTTTGATTGAGCGCAACATGGGGGCCGGGGTTCAGGGGCTGGACGGGAGGCTCTTAACTCCTTACATCCCTTCATTGGTCCTATACCCCTTTTTCTCCTCCAGACAGAAGTGATTTGGTTCTGTTTCCTTCCCCCCCCCCCATGTCTGTATTTGTAGGATTTGAATTCTGCAGTAGCCCATCATTACCGTGCCCAGCTCAGCTCTCCAGCGAGAATTGTGCCATGGTGGTAACAGGGTAGGATCGTTCTTTAAAGACCCGAATCCCTGGCTGCAGCGCCAAGATTTGAGCCCGGACAGCTGCCTGCCGGTCACAAAATGGATTTGGGTGACTTGCTGAACGCCCCCCCCGCCCCCCGAACAACCGGTGGTGTCCAGGGAGCTGCCCCTCTTTGTGGCCCAGCACTTCCATAATGCAGCGCCGGTTCTCCAGAGCCCATAAATGCACTGGACCAGTTAAAGCGGCTCTTGCTTCTTGTTCCATTAAGTCTGGACTGGCGCTGTGGTGAAAAGAGGATAATGCGATTCCTGGAAGCCGCCGTTCCAAAGTGCCGGCTAACACCTGGCTCTCTGAGCCGTGCAGGGAAAGCCAGGCGTGCTGCATGTACTTAACCGTACCGGCCTGGAACATTGCGCCTTCCGCGTGACACGGGAAGACGCAGTCGCTGCCCATTAACACCTCTGTTAACATCTCTCCACGCTCACTGCCAGTCTGGCCTTAAGGCCGCTCGCTCGACAGAGGTGATTTTGCGTTTGCTAACAATCGGCAGTGTCTGTCTTTTCTTTTTTTCTCTCTCTTTCCAGCCTGCGAAGGGAAATGCAAGCAGTGGAAAGATGTCACGCTCACTGTCATCACCTGCGGGGTGGGGGGGGGTTCTTTCCATCGGGGTGGCTCGTGTGTGTACGTGCAGTTTCCAAGTTAAACTTCTTGGTTTAAGAAGCAACCGCCCCAGATGTTTCCGCGCTGAATTGGAGGCTTCTTTGCAGAAACAGAAATTGGAGGGCGGCACGCAAAAATAAAACGTGCTGGCAGGGTTTGTAATCGAGACGTCGGAAGGGGTGCGGGCAAAGCGGGCGGAAAGAGGGGGACAAGGCAGGCAGCCCAACCCAGCCGAAAACTAGACCTGTTTATGGCAAGGGGCATAACCCCTGGTGCTAAGCAGGGTTTACAGCTGAGCATTTGGCTCTTCTGCAAGCAGCCTTTCCAGCTGCTGCTTGCTTTCTGCTCTTTCACCCTCCAGGAGGCTAAGCTGGGTTGGACTTCACCTGCCGCAGTAACAGATTTTTTTATTTTTTTTTTAAGAAGTTGTGCAAAAGCAGGCAGGTTGAAGGCCCGCCGAGTGTGCTGTCCCACTGTCTTCTGGGGAAGGGAAGCACCAGTGCGTTTTGGGCGTTGGCGTGTCTGAGGTCACCCTCGGGATACTCCACTTGCTGAGTTAATCTTTAATATTTCAGTCCGTAATAGCACCACTCTGCAGGGTCGGAAAGTCCTTTCCCTCCTGTCCTGCTGCAGCCTGTTCCCTGTTTTTCCTTCTCTCTGCTCCTGGCTTGATTCTTTGAGTGGATCAGTGCATGAGATTCAATAAAGCAGCATCTTTCCTTTGTTTTAGGCCAAGGGTGTGGGAGATTTTCTGTCTCGCAGCCCTCACACACGGCCACTCCAGCTCTTCTCTCTAGCTGCTCCCTTTCTTCCTCCCCAATATCCCACTGCCTCCCTGTGTCTGAAGTCAAGGGACGGTTTAATTATCCCTAAGCACGCCGTGTCTATTTTGCATACAAACACGTTGCTTTCATTATCTTCCACCTGTCGCATTGAGGAATTGCAAGCGGCGGCTCTTACGGTAGCAAATGTGTTGCTTTAAAAAAACCCCAAAACACAAGGCCTCAAGCAGCTGATTAGTAACGTGTAAAATTCCTCGTGCTTGTTTCCATGGCCAAGAAACCACAGGTGCCTTTTCCTGGACCTCCTCTCGTGGCTTAATGGACAGTGATGCCTTCGTGGGGCCTTAGCAGAAGCATCCGGGTGCATTGCTCTCATGCCAGCCCCCACCTTCCTGGATAGCCTTGCACAGGGGAGACCATCATCTCATCCCAGTTCCCTGGGGACAGGTTTTCCACCTTGGACTGGTTAACAGGGCTCTTGCACATGGTTCAGGGGAAGCTAGGACTTCCCTCCCTGGGTCAAGGGAAACTGCCCTAGTGTGGTCAGGAGGCGATTGAGAGCCTGCTGGCACATTGCCTGGCTCTCGCCAGTGCTGTTAGTTATTCACTTTTGTGCATGTCAGTGGTGTTCAGTGGCCTGGTAAGAAATCCCCCAAGTCAACCGTTGCATGTGCGTGGGCTGCGAAAACCAGCCCGTGGTGGCTGCTTAATGACGTTGTAATGGTTTCTAATGAAGTCGTGTCACATAGGCAAGACCCCGGGCCTGGGATCTCTTCCCAGCTCTGCCGCACCTGGCTGGGTGGTCTCTGGCTGCACGCGGTGCTCTACCTCATGCTGATTATCTCCAGTAGGTCCTGGCCTGTTGTTAGCTCGGGTAGTATAAGTAAGATCATGATCTCGAGCCTCTCTGGGGAGGGGATGCTGTGCTAGCATTGGAGCAGGGTTGGGAAGGGGTAGCCAGTGCATGGAGGCAAGGCCTTTTCCTTGGTGGGAGCATTTTGTAGCTCTGCATAGGCACTGACTCGGGTGATTTCTCTTCTGCAGAGTGGCAGGTGGACCACACAACCACGCAGAATGGCAGGGGCCTTGCTGCTCCCCCATGCCAGCTGGCTGGGTCGGTGCCTTGCCCGGGATACCCACAGTTGGCGCCGGGTGCTCCACGGACTGTGGAGCCGGGCATCCTGTGGGAGAGGTCTGCGCCCGATGAGCTCAGTCGGCATCGGCAGGGTCGCGCCCGTCTTCACCAGAGCTCTGGCTTTCGGCGAGAAAGTGGCCATCATTGACCAGCATGGCGAGCACACCTATAGGGACCTCTACGTGCAGAGCCTCTGCCTGTCCCAGCAGATCTGCAAGGTGCTGGGATGTCGCGGCACAGACCTGAAGGAAGAGCGGGTCTCATTCCTGTGCCCCAATGATGCCTCCTACGTGGTTGCCCAGTGGGCTTCCTGGATGAGTGGCGCCATCGCCGTGCCCCTCTTTCGGAAGCACCCGGTGTCGGAGTTGGAGTATGTCCTGGAGGACTCGCAGAGTGCGCTGCTCATGGCTGCGGAGGAGTACGTGGGGAAGGTCGTGCCCAGCACGGAGAGGCTGGGAATACCGCTCCTGCCCCTCCCGCCCTCCGGTAGCTGGGCCACGGCCAGCCAGGCGGCTGTGGAGGAGCTCCCGCTAGCAAGTCCCAGTCCGGAGTGGAAAGACAGAGGAGCCATGATCATCTACACCAGTGGGACCACGGGCCGCCCAAAAGGCGTCCTCAGCACCCACCAGAACATACAGGCTGTGGTGAGTGCCACTCTCCACCCCAGCTGGGCAACAAGCATCGTGGTTTTCAAAGCAGCTGGTGGGTTTAGTATCTGTGAGAGGCCTTCCAGGGGCCTGGTTTTCAAGCTGTACAAAGAGGCACTGGGTCTCTCATTGGGCTCCTTGAAAGCTCAGCCCCATCCCAGAGCCATGCAGCAGGTGCCCTAGGATGAAAGCCCTGCTTCACATCAGCCGTTGCACTCTGTAGCAGGCTGGGTGGAGGGTCTTGTGGGTGGCTTCCCAAAGATCATCGGGATCCCCACAAAGGGTTCCTCTGCCCCCCGGCTCGCCTTTCTGTGGGATGAGTGAAAACATCTAACCCCTCGCTGAAGCTGAACGCGATGCAGCCCACGCTTCTGTCAAGCCTGTGCATTATTTAGCTATCTATCCCCAAGGCAAAAAAATCCATTAGCTCTCTGAGCCAAAAAGGATGAGAAGGCTGAAGGAGCCTGCTCTCCACCTTGGCAGCTTGGGATTGCTGCCTGCAACTGATCAAATCACCCCATTAAGACGAGGGAAACGCACTGCACTTTCACGATGAGGTGTAGGGCCCAAATGGTTCTAGCTGGCTGCATGCTCTGGGAATGAGAGAGCTGTGAGGACCTGGCTAGATGGACCCAGGGCTCTACTATCACGGGGGGGGGGGGGAAATTTGGGGTCCCAACTGCTCTGATCTGGTGAAAGGCAGGCTAAACGATGGCAGCAGAGCACTGCTGGATACGCTCCCCGCCTGAAGCCTGCTCTGCTCAGACAGGCAGTGGAGGCCTGGGAGTGATGGGACGCGATGCCACGGCACAGATGCCTTTGGTTCGTAGGCAGGCTGGAAGTGACTCCTCTGTAAAGCCAGCCCCGTGTGCCTGCTGCTCCAGAATAGCTGGTGTCTTCGAAATAAAGCCCAGTGGAAGCTTGGGATGCCTGCTCCGTCCCCAGCGTGGGGTTTACTTTGCTTCTCCATTTATGGCGCATTGATTTCCTGTCCCTCGTCACTATTCCTTATGGATCTGAAAGAGCCAGCGCAGGGCAGCTTCCTTCTGTCAGCAGCATAATCAATGCTGTCAGCAGAGGGGCTGAGAGATCAGTGGTGACTGTGCCAGCGCCGGTGTTTGTTGGAGACACTCACGTTCCAGGCCCAGACACCGACCCGGGTACATTACTCATGGCAGAGCCAGGGGCTGAGCAGTGGTCCCTGGTTCTGCAGAACGCTGTCATGAGAGCTCTGTCTGTTGGGTCAAGTTCACACCAGATTTATTTCCCTGCAGGTCACCGGGCTGGTCAGCAAATGGGAGTGGACGAAGGACGATGTTATCCTGCACGTGCTACCTTTGCACCACGTGCACGGGGTGATCAACAAGCTTCTGTGCCCACTGTGGGTGGGAGCGACGTGCATCATGCTGCCCGAGTTCAGCGCACAGACGGTAGGCCTGGGGGACTGCCTGTGAGATCTAGCCCCATGAGTTCGAATCGGGGCAAGCTTGGAGAGGGTCCTCGTGCAGTTGCAGCCAGTTTTGCTCCTGGCAGCGCGTCTGCAGCTTAAAAACACGTGGAGTGGAAGGTGAGGTGTGGGGCAGAGCAAGTTCTCCTGGAGGTTTGAGCTTGTTTAGGACGTGGCTTATGATCCATAATATCACTGTGCCCCTGAGTGAAGCCAAGGGACTTGTGCTACCCAGTGAGAGCTACACTCCTCCACTCACTAAGACCACGCGCACACACGGGGAATAACTGTGCTCATTTTCTGGCTATAGATGAAAACATTTATCACCCAGCACACCATCAGGACATTACCTTGAGCCCCCTGGTTGCTGCCCTGTATTGCCATATTCAGGAGAGCCTTTCCTGTACCATCTTCTGTGTATTAAGTGCACTCGTACTCATGGCTTGGCCTCGTGGAGCATTTATCCTGGTGTGACTTATGCTGGCTTTATACGCCACCGTCACACCACAGTTGGGAGCAGACAGGAGAGCAGCGTATGGCAGCAGGGTGGACTGGTTCATGCCTGCAGATATAACCATGTTGTGTGTCTGCACTCTGTGCCTGGTGTTGTTGCATGTGGTATAGTGCTGCCTCGGTGTCCGGGGCTGCAGGTGAAACTAATCCTAACACTCAGTTTTAGACCAATGCTGCTCTTCATCTTTGAGATGCTAATGAATTTATCGGGACTAGAAGTGGTGATTTGTAGTCCCCCCGTTCTGGGTCCTCGATGCCTGGGAGTTGGCAAGCTCAGAGGTTTCAGGATCTCTCAGAGAAAGTGACAGTGGGCAAACCGCCTTTTTAAGCAGGGGACATTGGTAGGATGCTTTCCCCCTCCGCTGCAGGAAGCTCTGAGCCCAGTGCCTGCTTCTGCCTTGTACCACAGTAATGCCAGCATGCGGCAGTCATAAAGGAAGCAAAGTATCTGTGGAAGGGCAGCATGGCTTTGGAGTGGCGCACGACCCCCTTTGGCTTGGCCTGGGGCTGCCTGGTTAGAAAGCCCCTGACATAGCCCTGAAGAGGTGGAGGAGATCACTCATGCCCACACTTTCATTCATCTACTGTGGTGACGGGCTTTGGAGAAAGTCCCATGGCAAACAAAGAGATGGGCTCAGTTCTTGCCAGTCCCTGCAGGTTTCTGAGTGACTTGTCCACATGTGACTGGCTTGGAGACAGTTTTGGTCGGCGCCTCTTCCCTGGACGTTGCCCCAACCAGGTGAAAAGGCAGTCGTGTGATCAGCATGCCTGGACACACGATGTGGAACCAACTGGCGCTGACAAAGAGCAGACAGAAGAGCCAGATGCCTACTCCAGAGTAATTTGACCCATCCACTGTGGAATTACCCCATAAATCCATACCAGTGGATGTTAGACCAGCATAGAGGCCATGTGCCCACTTAATAGTAGCTGTTTACACAGCGCAGGTAGGCCCGACTGTAGCAAGCTGGGTGGAGAGGAGGAGAGAGAAGACAGGATGCCTGAACATTTGGCTCCGCGGTGCCCATCCTTCCCAGCGCCTCTGGGCTGGCTGCAGGTGCCAGGGCTTTTAGAAGAGCCAAGGAGAAGGCTTTCTACCAGCTGAGCTAAAAGCAGGATGGAAATTGCATCGCGTCTGTAAAACTGCAAAATCCTGGAAGGCTTTCCACTGTAATCCCAGGCTCCGTGTCTGGTTGCTCACTTCCCGCTCCTGCCAGCTCTTTCCTAGCTGTGATGGCCTGAGAGTCAGGCCAAGCTGCCTGGAAAAAACATAACCCCACCCAGAGTAATGGCTCCATCTGCCCCTCCCTGTCTCATTGATGCAGCATGTGCTATGGGGATGTGACAAGAGGCTCCTAGAACCGTGAAGAAGCAGGGCTGGAAGGCACCTCCCTACCCAAACCGCCCCATAGAGATCCATAATCTAATCTCTTAGTAAAACTGCCGTCAACCCTGACATCACACCTGAACCTTCCACAGGTAAAGCAAGGGGACCGCGGCGGCCGACATCCCGCTGCTGCAAAAGGTTGTTAACATATATGCAAGAGATCCCAGGCATGGAAGAAGTAAAGCAGTCCAGACAGCAGCTCAGGAACCCTCTGCCCTTTGGCCTTCTGCCAGCTCTGTGCATGGGTCAGTGGAGGCTTTCTACCTCTGATGTGCCAGAGGCTTAAGGCCAAATGTTGCCTTGCTCAGAGGAGCCTCTGCCTTCCTGATGGAGCGACTGAGACGGGAGCTTCGCTCTCGGTTCCCGATGAACGCGGTCTCTTTCTTGGCTGGAAGCATCGCCACGCGGTGAAGAATTGGTCCTTCTGGCGCTGAAAGCTGCTTTGTGGGAATGTAAATCTGTAACCAGGAGTCTTGCAATCCTGTAGCCCCCACCCCCTCCCACGTCGCACTGAAAATGTGCCGTGCTGTCTTGGTGTCTCTATGCGGGGTGTGATAGCCATGAGCTGATGCGGGACATGGCTGCGTTTGGTAGCAGGGTGGTTCTTGCTGCCCCGGGGAGCTCCGTGTGTCCCCGTTCACCGTGTCGAGAGCCTTCCTCAGAAAAAACCCTCCACCAGAGCCTCTTCCCCTCCTCACCCCTGGACCAGCCAGAGGAACTGCTGCTGAAGGGGCTGAGCCTGTTGGCCTACACAGCCCCAAGGAGCCAGACATTGGGAGCTGAACCCAGGTGGGGCACGGCCCCAAGAGACTGCTGCGACTGGCTGGCCTGGCTATTTAAAATTTAAATGCAGAGTGTGTGCATGCAAAGTGTTTCAAAGGAGCTCAGCTCTGGTATTACTCTCCTGGATCTTTGAAGTCATCCCTTCCTCCCCTGCTTGGGTGCTAGCCTTCATCCCGCTCGCCTCCGGGTAACGTGCGGGCTCCTGCTGCTCACTTGCAGCACTTGATCTCTTCCAAGCACTCCACCGACTTGTCACAGAAAGCCAGGCCTTGGGGCCTATTGCCTGGGGAGTGCACAGAGGCGTGGGTGGGACGAAGAATATGCTCCTCATCTCGGAGCAAAGCCAGCCCCCAGCCCCGCGCGCCTTCCTTCCTCTCCTCGCCACCCCCCGGTGGCACGTGGTGATTGATTGTCCCTTCTCTCCGTGTGTTTTTTCTGCGCCACTCTCCCGACATCTGCAAATCAATGAGCTGACGTTGAAGGATGGGGTCTGCCGGGGCAGGGGAGGGGGAGGGCAGACCCGGGCCCTGATCAAAGCGCGCGGCAGGAGTTGACAACGAAGGGCACACGAGGACAGCACTGGGGGACGTGCCCCAAGTCGGCGCTGCCCCGGGCGCTCTCAGCTGCCTCTCAGCTTTGAAGGACGTCAGTCGTCTTCCCGGGCTTATGTTATTTTATTTTTTTAAATGTATTTATTCCCTTTGCTTTTCTGAGGGGCTCCTCGGGGAGCGGGGAGCGGTTTGATCGACACTACAAAAGAAGCACACGAGGGTAAATAAGGCTTTCTTGTGGAGTTTCATGCCAGCTGCCTTTCGGTTCCAGTCTATTTTCACCAGCTGTTTCCAGCACGCCCTTTGCTACTGAAATCAGCTTTCAGGGAAGCAGTGGAGTGGCTGCCAGTGGAGAATTTTGCACGAGGAGTTTTGCTGCCACCCCCACCCCCCCGCCTCCCCTCCATCGCACCTTGAGAAAGCAGTCCGTGACGGTGTGATACAACGGGACCCGGACGGCAGCGCAAACACTTGACGCGCCGATCACAACAAGTCCCAGAACCTGCCGCAGACACATTTCGCCGTGAGTGATACTGGCAGGGGTTCAAGGGAAACCGCAGCCGCCTGCCCGATGTGTGTTTGGGTTTTAATCGCTCACACTTCATTATACAAAATAAATACTTGATCGTTACGGTGTTTATTAACTCGCCTCGTTTGCGGCCTGCCCTGATTGGCGCAGATGCGAGTCTGGTTTCGCTGGCGCCAGCAGCATCCTCTCTTTGGAGGGGGTTCGGGTCCCCGCGACCCAAGCCTGGCTTGTATCCCTAAGGGGATGGTGTCTGGCCATGGGAGCTGCCCACGAAGGCACAACCCCAACGCCCCCTCCAACCTTAGCAGCATCTAGTGTCTGGGGCAGCACGCAAGCTGCCGCAGAGGCCACGAGGCTCATTAAAGCATGGAGAGCCACCCCAGGCATGAAAGTTTCTGCATAAAATCGGCTTCTCGTCACGAAGCGAGGGCATCCGTTACTTTGCGCTCGCTACTGTACATGTTATAATTTACTTTATAGCACCATCTGGTAGGGATGTCTTGCTTAAGCTTTTTGTAGGCTCCTTTTATTGGAAGTTATTAAAGAATATCGCTGCATCTATTAATCATTTATTAATAAACGGGTTATAAATGGGCCCTTCGTTCCCCGCATCACCGTCTGCTCCTCGTATGTGGCGAGTTAAGTGCCTTCGGTGTGTGCATCTCTGGGAATGCACATGGATGGCAGCTCAGGCTGCTCTCCGTTCCCCCGGAGCCCGTGGGGCTGGGTGTGTCATAGAAGCAGCCATCTCTGCATGCGGGCAGTGTTTTTCATTGCTCTGGAGGGACCCTTCTTCTTTCCAAAGCTGCAGGGAGCCACGAGGGAGCTGGGCCTGGCTTTGGGAGAGCCAACAGGAGCGAGTGCCGTGAGCTCGAAAGCGTCCCTCTCTCCATCAGTTGCACAGATCCGATGCTGCTTCCGTTTCGCATCATGGCAGCGTTGACAGCCATGAGCAGCAAAACTCTCTCTTTATCCCCACGAAGAAAACGGTACAGAGAGTGGTAGCACCAGCTTCCTTGCACCTCTGTAGCCCTGCTTCTCGGGGGTAAGGGTTGCACGCATGAGTCCTAGGCACGGACAGGGGTGCCCTGAGCTCAGCGCTGTCCAGATGCAGAACAAAAAGTGGTCCCTGCTGCCGGGAGCTTGGTCTGTCAGCCGTGAGCCACGGGGACTGCCTTGGGGTGCGGAAATGAGTGCTGAGTGCACGTTGGTCCAGCCAG